AGCAGCAGCAGCAGCAGCAGCAGCAGCAGCAGCAGCAGCAGCAGCAGCAGCAGCATCGACTGCAGCAACTGCAACAGCGGCAACAATTGACGCGGACGTTGCAGCAACAATAAAGCCATATGCAGCAAACAGCAACTGGCAAAGGCCAAAAAAGAAGCGAATGGAAAATGCTGGCCAACAATTGAGATCGCTTATCAGTTGGCGTCTAATTTACGACAATGAGGCCGCCAAGCGAGGCCTATGCGGCACACACACACACATACTTAATCCCCAATGCTGTGTGTGCATGCAAATATGAGACACTACATACACACATACACACATATGTATATACGCACACTTGTTTAATGTTCGCTCAGCTTTAATGCGTGCTGAAACTCACCTCGAATCGAACTTCTTGCCATCGGCCAGCAGTGTGCCAGTGTAGTGCATGGTGAGTGAGTCGCCGCTCTTCGTTTTCTGATCACAAATCTCGGGCACACTGATCACATCCACTTTCAGTTCGCTGCAGTGAACGCCGCTGAAGGCCACCAGAAGGCAGGAGAAAACAATTGACTTCAACATGACTGCAACAAAAGAAAAGTGCGAAGAAATTTAGTTAAAAATGGTTGTTGATATTTAAAGAAAATAAAAGCATAAAAGTAAATGAAAATTTAATATGATTAGAGGTTGTTTTAAATGATTATTATAATAAATTTGTAGCAAAAAAATGGCTTGAATTAAAAGATATAACATTTTTATTTTATACCCTAAACTGATTTAAAATGCGAAAACAGAAAAAAAAAAGTTGTGTATATTTTATTATTATTTAGTTTTACTACAACAATCTAGTGAAAAATCTAGTAAAATCAAATCATTAATAACTGTTAATGCTGGCTCATTAAATTTCATTTTAAAGTATAGCAAAAAGTCTTTAACTTTTTTTGCAAAATCTTTACACAATAAGCTCTTCAATTAGTTCAAGTCCTCACTTCAAACTCTTCAAAAATCAATTTATTATTACATAAGAAAAAATTTAAGCTAATTAAAGAAGAGGATGCGCAGTGTAAACTAAAAAATAATACACACACACTCAAAAAAAAAAGAAGACCAAGTGAAAAATTGGTTATTATGCAAATGCACAATTCATTTGCGAAGCGCGCAGCAGGTTTTATCCAACTGCAGAGGATTACGCAATGCCAAAATTGCAAATTATTGCAGCTAAGTGTGTGCGTGTGTGTGTGCGTGTGTCAGTGTCTCACTGTGTCTGTGTGTGCGCGCGTGTTAGCTGTGCGTATGCGTAATGTCCGCAAAAACGTAAAAGGTGACGGATGACCATTATGGTTGGGGAAGCAATATTTGGATTTCGAAAACACCTCATGTTATATATATACATATACATAGTGTAGGTGTTTTGAAATTGCAAATGAAAGTTGGAAATTTGACATCTTGGGCATTTTCAATGGGTCATTCGTAAGATTTATGCGCGCTTGGAAGAAAGCGTTTTGAAGAAAAGTGATTTGCAATAAATAAATAAGCTCGCCTATGAATGAGGAACAGTGACAGCAGCTGCAACAACAACAACAACAACAACAACACAATGTCTAAAGATAAAAACTTTCACTAAATAAAAGACTGCGTTGGGCCCGAGATGGCACCCAACAATTGGTAGCGGCACAATTACGTGGAAAAAAACATTAACATTTGGACTCGCTACCGCTCGTTACTTACTCTCTATCATTATCAAGCTCGCTCTTGTACTACCCTATGGGAGGTATAAGTTATATAAACTTGCTGCTTGGCTTGTACTTTGATCTCTAAATTGAGGTAATTTTGGTATGGGAAATTAAGTCTCGGTTATTTTTATAGGAAGTACTTGAAGACAACAACAACAACAAATTTATAATATATCATTGGAATAGGCTACATTAAACAATGAATTCGATTTTTATACCAAGAACTTTTGTGTTTCTTTAAATATTTATACAAATCCCAATAATTTCTATTTTTAGTCTTCTCTATTCATAGTCTTCTCATTCATTATGGGCTGATATGGGGAAGCAGAAACCGAAATTTATGTAAATATTTAAGAACAGCTGAAGAAGCGGACTCAGAAATAAGTAAAAAGAAAATAAATGAAAAAAAAGTAAAAATAGAAAAAAATTTGCCTTCGAAACCTGATTTAACTCTAGTTAATTTGCTTGAAATATTGTTAAATTTTATAAATTTGCTGTATATAAAATTTAACACTGAAGCGTATGTAATCTTCGGCTAATTGAATTTGTCTTCTCTTCATTTCGTTATTGTTGCTTCTTCTTTATCTTTTTTTTTTTTTTTTTTTTGGTTTTTGGGGCGTTTGCAGCAAAACCAGTTGCGTGTGTTGGCACCTTGTCTTTGGTTGCTTTGCTCTTGTCTTTTATTTTATTGTATTTTATTTTTGGTTTGTTTGATTTGAGCGCATAGTGCGAGCCTGGTTCGTTGAACTGTCGCCTCTTACCGTTAGGCCGCAGAGCAGTGGTCTACCTGGGCCAACGATGACTCGACTTAATAATTTGCGACTAAACGTTAATGAAATGAAAATTTTACAGCTGAGCCGGAGGCACACGTCATGAGTTTTTCCATCAAAGACAATAAATGCCAACTAATTAAAACAACAAACGAATGGGGATTAGCTGCACACGACAACAGCAATAATCGTACAGCAACAACAACAACAACTGCAGCAACAATTTTGTAGGCCGGCCGGGAGATAAGCGCTAGAGCGTTAGAGCGTACTAGTTGCTTTACATTTTGTGCTCAGTTTCGTTAAGTTTTCTTTTGGCTGGAACATTGCCCTCTTTCCCTTTTCCATTTCGGTTTCTTCCATGCTGACGCGATCGCATGCTCTCTTTCGCCCTATCTCTCTTTCTCGCACTCTCTGCTGCTCTGCCACCGACTCTGCTGTGCGCTGTGTCGCGACATTCGCTGATGTGTAAAACACGATGTGAATATGAATGAAAAAGACACGCCAGCTAGTTTCAAAGTACACGCTTTCATTTTGTTTTTGTTTCTAATTAACTGCATTCTTCGATGCACTCACACGCACACACATGTAAACACACGCAGGCTGTGTTTGTTAAGTAGTCAAGTTTGTTTATACCTTTTCGTTTATTTACTAATGTATTCCACTCAATTAATACCGGATATTAACACGGCTAACGGCACAGGCAACGGGCACACAACTGTTACGATCGACGTGCGCAAGGCAACTGCTGGAATTTTGACGACGACGACGGCGTTTACTATGCTGCGTGGAGAGCTTTTGTGAGCGCGTAGCGCACACCAATACAGCTGCACGGCTCAACCGAAACACACAGAGATCAAGCGTGAGAGCGAGACGCAGCGTCTGAGCGAGAGCGTGTGACGCGGCAAACACTTGTCCACGTAATCAAAGTAACTCGCGCAGCTCTCAAACGGTTTACACTGAGCGACCAAATTCAGACGTTGTTTCTGCTGCGACTTTGACTAGTCTGTATTCTTTTTTTTTTTTATTATTTTACTGAGGCAACTCTGATAGAAATGATGGAATGAAAATAAATGAGGAACGAAAACAAATGGAATCAATGTGAAACACCTATTTATATAAATTAGAAATAGTTAAAAGCATTTAAAATACTTTATGTGCATTTTTACATTCTTTAATTGTGATTATTTGACAACTTACTTATTTTTTATTTGTCTAAAAATTAATATTTATATAAAAATGTTGTTTTTGGTTTCTAATAAATCAGCAACAAAAATGGACTGGAACTTAGGATAGAGCTGAGAGACACACAACCTGCTCGCGCGTTGTTACAATGTTAACTGTGGGTCTGCTGTCAGGACGCTGTTAGCTACATGCTGAACATGTTGCCAGCAACATGTTGATGTTGCGCGCAACATTCACATTGTGCAGCTTACAAGACAAGCCACGCCCTCAAGGCGCATGCGCTAGGGCTAAATGGGCGGAGCTAAAGAGCAATGAAATGTAATGTTATTAAAATTAAAATTATTAGTAATTTAAAAAGGTTTAATTTTAAAATTTACTTAAATTACACAAATTTTTATAAGTAAATGTTTACGTATATATTCAAGTACTTACGCGCATTTAAACAAATTTTATCTTGTTTCTATTGTCAACAAAAAGCCGCACCCGCATATACGAAAACAAAAAACAAACTAAAATAGCTAAAGCAGATTACCCTAGGGGGCTATTTTACGCCCCAATGGATGCGATTGCTAATGCAAATCAATTAGATTTTCTAAACTCAATTTAATTTGGCTTCAGTTCCAAATCTAATCGCAACGCGTCGGTTGTTTCACGTTGAACGGATTAATAAAAATTGTAGACCTATAAAAAATTGAATCAAATATGCTGCAGGAGCGACCACAGGCATATGTCCTAAAGCGTAGGGAGCACAGATTTGTGGTGGAGCGCATCGAGGGCATTATAAATCCAGCCTATGAGCCTGATTTGGGTGGGGATGTCAAATCGGAGCGTGCAGCCAATCAGCGATGCAACCAATCAAAATGGCGAGTATATAACTTAAGTCTTTAGTTAAATGCGAGAGAATGCGTTTTTACTTACATAAAATATAAATATAAAATACATATATCATATTTATTACGTGAAACACAATAACTTTTTATTCTAAATATTTATTGAGAATAACTTCTGATACTGTTTTCAATTCATAATTTTTTATTTAAATTCTAATTAAATATAAATCTATATATAATTATTATACAATCTAATTACATACATATGTATATCTTCTTAGAAAAATAATTAACTTGCATTCGGCTGGGCTTATTCTGTTTTAAATATAAGACTTTATATAATCTCATTCTTTATTAATTACATAAATATAGGTTCAATGTATTCCTGAGGTCTTATTATAAACCCAATTAAGCTGCACTATGCACATTTGTATAACATAAATACTTATAAACAAATTTGTAACATATCATTTATCTATTTAACATTTCTTAACATTTCTTATTCATTTTTGTGAAACTCTTTCTGTTTCATCATTAATTCGAGCTCTAGAATTTGGTGCTGAACTTGAAGATTCTTGAGTTCCGCCAAGTGTTTCTCTTGAGCTCTGATATCAGAGTTACGATAATAGTGGAATTGAGCGACCAACGTCCTCTGAGCTAGACTGAGTTCTTTGGAAATCTTGAAAATGGTTTTAAATAGTTTTTTTTTTTTTCTAAGGATATGGTTAGCTAAATTTTTTACCAGTCCAGTATTTATTCCATCGTTACCCTGCAAGGTTTCTATTCCAGCTAGCCGACATGGGATATTATTCTTGTCAACAGTTATTTCCTCATCACCCTGCGGATTTTAGTTAGTGCCTGACACTGACTAACGTTAAACACCTACCTGACTGAAGTTTGTTTGCACAAGCTCTCGTATATCCCTAACACCTTTCTCTGTGGACTCGGCTGATAGCCGAGCGGCCTGACTCTTATCATCCTCGGTCATGATCTGATCCCCATCATCGAAGGGGGCCTCTGCATGAGGGTGCACGGACATGGCCTGATCTTGGTTAACCAAATCTGCATTTTCTTTAGAGTGAATCTCTGTTTTGACGAGATCGAATAGCTTTGCTGGCTCAACTTCAACCTGAACCAATTCCACCTTCGGCTCTCCAACTTTGCCGTTCTGACCCACCAATCGAAGGGAATTTTCAACCGGTGTTGGTTCGCGTTTTATGGACACATTCGACAGTTTATTGAGTTTCTTCATCGTCTCGTATTTTGACTTAAGCTTAACAGCCGATCTCTGAATTCTCGTATTTCTGACGAAGGATTTGTTAAAATGAGAATCGAAATTAGGGCTCTCAAACCTCACTTGAAAAACTCTATGGCTATATTCTCCCAGGCCCGATTCTTGACGCGCCAGACACTCGCATTCGAGGTCTTCTCCTCGATCTGTTTATAATACTTGGCTGTCAATGCTCTCAGCACATCCTCCTCTGCAACTGTAAAGTTTGGCATACGCGTACGTTGACGACGCGAAGTCATGACTTGATCTGATCTTATATGCAAATGGATCTGTAAAATATATTACGAATTAGAGTTGAGTCGGTCGAGTTATTGTAGCTGTGGTGTCGTGTCGTGTCGTGTGTGTGTATTTGTTGTCTAGGGCTGAGCTCCTTAGAAGCCCATAACATGTTTAGTCTTGGCTTTTTTGGCTGGCGGCGGTCTCATCTCCGGCGCATTCTCAATGACCGTAAATTGACTCGCTGTCAACGTGGAGTGCGGCTGTCTGGTAAAGTTCAGACTTTCATCAAATGAAGTCTCCTCGATTTTCGGGGTTTTTAGTTCATCTAAATCAAATGTCTCTGGCATCAGTTCTTTGTAGTCGGCATAGGCGGCTTCGAAACGCTTGGGCAGATTTGTGCCCGGCACCAGTTTCTCATCATCTCCAGCTGCAGCAGCTTTCTGCAGCTCTGTGGGCGGCAGCGATTGTTGCAGCCAGGCAGCTGTTCGGTCTTCGTCCGCCATGCCATCATCGTCTTTCTTTAGCTTCTCGTCGATCATATCGATTTGGACATCGCGCGTCAGCTCGAACTCATCCACATCCCAGATGCTGAGCAGGCGCGTGCTGATGAGGTCCGTGAAACGGTTTAGATAATAGACCGACTTTTGCCAGGGACCACGATTCACAGCCTTCTTCTTCTTGATGGCTTTCTGATCCTCGTTTGGCTTGGTCTCTGCGGGTGGGGTCTCTGGGGGAGGAGTCTCCTCTTTCTTGGCCACTTGCTGACTTTGACTATTTGTTGGCTGCGTTTGTTGTTCTTCGCTGTTCCCTTCGTCGTCGGACATGGACTCCGGCTCGGACTCAGAAAAGCCATAGTTGATGGCCACATCCTCTATGACCAAAGGCTTCTCCTGCTCCACGTCCCTTTCCTTTGCGGATTTCATCACGTCTCGCATCACAGACATGGATTGAATCGTCGTACACCGAAGTTTTCTTTTGACATGATGACGCACCAGCTCCGCATAGTAGAGTATCGCCTCCTTGGTGTGCACTCCAGTCCGCTGCTCGCGCTGCATCTCCAGCTCATCGCGCAGCGTCAACCGCTGGCAATAAATATCGCCCACGCTCTTGGCGGTCAGCAGCTGAGCGAAGGCGCCATCAATGGCATTGTCCAGCCTGTGGAACTTGATGCCGGTGGTGCAGCACTTGATGCGCTCCGCCAGATCCGCATAGATGTCCACGCTTACACCCTGTAGCCGTGCCTGCAGCAACGCCTCCTCCAGCTGGGGCGGCTCATAGGGCAAGGAGTGGGACCACATCTCCGTGTGGCTCTGGGCCAGAACTCCTTTTAGCTCGCAGACTCGCTGATCGCTGGGATCGGCGCTGCTCATCGCCACATATTCGCTGCCCTCGTACGCAATGGCATCCATGAAGGTGGGCGAATAGCTCATCTGATGCGTCCAGGTGACAACGGCACGATCCGCCACCTTCTGGCCCATACAACGCATGTCCAGACAGTGAAGCTTATGATTGCTTGCCACATACAGGAGATGGGGATTCACACTCCTCCCCAGACAAGAGAAGCTCTCGCAGTTCGACGAATAGGCGCTGCTGGCAAAGCAGGGATTGATTACTTCGTTGGAGCAGCGCAGGTCGATGGTGAGCAGGGCGGACTGGCAGAGATAGTGGAAGCAGTGCTCCTGGCTGGCACGCAGCTGTGCCCAGGCGCTGGTCTTGTGTATGCCTTTCAAGATGCACACCTCACGCTGCATTATGTCCTGCTGGGTGACGATATCCTTGAAGCGCACAGTGTGATCCTGGCACGCTATGGCCAAGGTATTTGGACTATTCGTTGCCTGCGCCACGCTAATGAAGGGCCCATCCTGGCTGGTATATCGACTCTGGCAGCACAATTCATATTTGCTAGCCTGCTCACCATCATCCTCATTATCATCTTCATCCGCATCCTGCACGTCTTCCAGCTCCTTTAGTTCATAGATGACTATATCGTTTAGCATGCGCGCCAGAAACATATTGCCATGATTCACGCGGAAGCTGTTGATGGGCAAGAGCTCGAAGATCTCGCTGGACATGTCCGTCAGTGATTCGCTATGCAGTGGACGCCACAGTTCCGCCTCCACGCCCACCTGTGAGAAATGGAGACACTGCAGCCGCTCGCCAGAGACGTGCATAGCCAGCGGCTTGCTTTCCGGGCACCCAGCAGTCGAGTAGGACATCAGATTGAGATTACCGCCCGTGTAATAGTAGTCATAGCTGTCCCGAAAGTAGGTATTATCCTGCAGCGCTATATGCTCGGCCAAATCGAACAGATGACAATTGTATATCTGATTGTCATGTTTCTTTTGGCGCTGCTTTTGCTCGGCAGTTTGTTTCAAGTATGTGGACTTGTAGTAATGCAGATTGCGCATCCATTCATCGTGGGTAGCCGGTCGCTGATGGCACGGCTCCACAATGGGCGTGCTCTGGCTGGAGATGTAGACGGGTAGGGCCACGGTATAGGCGCAGCTAGGGAATACATTCAGCTGTCGATCCTGAACAGAGTTCTGTCCCAATCCTTGATTGAAGGCTGGATGTGTGTGATGCGATGTATGCTCCAGCAAAGTACGTGTCGGTTGCTGTTCACCATCCATCGAAGTATTTCCAAATTCATCTTGCACCTCCTCTTTCTCTTCTTCGTCATCCGAATCGCTCGCTGAATTTCCAGCCTCACTACGATTACTGGACTTGAGGGATTCAATCGTTCGGTTGAGCTTCTCAAGCTGTAACTTTGTTGTATATCTACGAGGCATGATGTTTAAGCTAAGTGTCTATCTAAAAGTTTGCTTAGATTGAAATTCATTTGTTTGTTAGTGTTTGGGCTTTTGTTCGATGTTTTATTTTTTTACTACAAACCTTTAGCTTGATGCTATATTTCCTTTTTTTCCCACACTATTCCGCAGACTACAGTTTATTTATAGTGAAACTATAGATTTCCAAGTTATTTAAGAAAATGTTTTCATATAGAAATACAAAATCTAACTAGCAGTTTGTTAAAATGAACAGCAGCCGGCAGCATGCTTTAGCAGCTATAGAGATGGGTACTTTGATCAAGAATTTAGAGATGGCACTTTAAACACCAAACAAAAGCAATTGAAACTTTGTGTATTCATTGTTTTAGGTAATTTTCTTGGGAATTGCCATTAGATAACAAATAATACTATGGTTCAAACAGACATAAACAAAATCGTTAAATTATTTATAAGATAATCATAAAATTTGCGTCGAATATCAACCGTGACTTTTAATCGATACTTCTACTTATACACCAGCCCTGTAGTCATCGACCTGCAATCGCACCAACTAATTCTAAACAAAGTCTGCGCATTTCTTCACATTCAATATTTGGTCACACTGTCGCGTGTATCATAATCGAGTTGAGTCGTCCGCAGTTTAGTCCAGAAAAGTTATCATTTAAATTTGTTCTTATTGTGACAAACAACAACGAATTAGTGTTCAGCAATAAGTTAAATTAATCCAATGCAGCATAGTAACTGTGTTTGTGTGTGGGCGTGCGCGAATCAGCATCAAATTATACAAGTGTAAAACGCGAAAAATTTGAACACCCAAAGAAATATTGATTTTTTCATAGAAAAAAGGCCCAGCGAGTGTTGTTCTTATTGTTGTTGTGTTTTGTGCGTGCCAGTTAACTACCAAAAGAAGAAGGAGAAGAAAAGAAAAAGCAAAAAGCAAAAAGCATAAGAAGAAAATTCAAACTGCCAAGAAAATCCAAAAGCAACGCAACAAGAAAACGCGCATCAGTAAATTTCCACAAATTTTGTAATAAAATTGCTGCCTACATCCCGTCTACCCCGCCGAACATCATTTGATTCACAGTAACAGTAACAGTAACTGTTGTTGTTTTTCTTGTTATTGTTGTTGTCTGCTGGAAGTTCATCACTAAGAAACATAAGCACAACGAGCGTCAGGTGAGTCTTGAATGTCCCGCACTCACACAGAGGCACACCACGCACCCCTACACACACACAGCAGACAAAGTGATAATATCAAAAACAGCAACAACAACAATGCACACAGGCATTGGCAAATGGCACACACATGCACTCTCACATAACGGGTCTGGCGCGTGATGACCCTCTGCCTCTGCCTATCAGATTTGCTTGGCTTTGCTAGCTACTGCTGCTGTGCTACTGTTGTTGCAGTAGTAATAGTTGCTGTTGTTGTTGTTGTTGCATTTTGTCACTTTTGCTCTTTCTACACATAATACCTCTATTACTATGCCCGCCTCTCGTCCGTTTCTCTTTCTTCGCTCATTCTACTCACAACGCGCTGCATCATTTTCCATCAATTTTATCATTTGCAATCTTATTTTTTTCGTATTCTTTTTTCTTCTTTTTTTTCAATTAACACACTCAGCTCTCACACAGCTGAACTTTGAGTAGTTAGTAGTTAACAGTTGTCTGTTAGTCGTTACATTGCATGTTAATGTTAATATTGTTGTTGTCGTTGCCTGTTGTTGCCAAATTTATCTTCTAATGCATCTTAATTTGTTTCTTTCTCATTTATGTTTCCTTTTGATTTGCTTTATGCTGTTAATTTTGACAAACCCCCAACGAACTCTGACGTAACGCAGGCCCAGAAAGCTTCACACTCCCACGAGCTGCGTTATTTTTCGCCCATCCGCTTTTGTTTGTTTGAATTTTATTACTTCTGGTGCTCCATTTGTAAGCGCTGTTAACTGTGCGGCGCCAGCGATAGCGCTAACGTCGACGTCGCTGTCCTGGCTTTTCGCCTGCGCCTTCGACAAACAAACGTTGCTTTTATTTGACTTTGTTGTTTAACTTGTCTGCATATTTAATATCGCGCGTAGGTCAGTTAACCTAGCATTTCGAGTCCATCACAAATTGCCAAATTGCTTTTTGCCCGATTCGCTCTCTATCTCTCTCTCTCTGCTACTCCTGCGCTGCCTGGTTGTATTTTATGTAACTCTCAAATCGATTGCAAACACGTAACAGTAAAACAACCTGCACGACGCCCCTGCTCTACATTTCTCTCTCTCTCTCTCTCTCT